GATTCTGCTACAGCTCTCACTCTGATTCCTGCACCTGTTCTTTCACTGGCTGATTGGCTGAGACTGGTAAAAAAAAACTATGACCACCCGCGTGCATAATGAGCTAACTAAAACCTATTTATACTGTGAAACACCCACATCACAAGCTAAAATTAATTAACTAATTAAGTGAATCACTAAACAAATCCTATTCTGAATAACAAATCAAACCAAATAATCTAAATTCTATTCCATTTTTTAACTGAAAATGGAGAAATAGGTCCTATAGACTAGCCTGGGTGTCATTCCGAACTTAGTCCCGCCCACAACGTTTGAGGTCGGGAAGTTCGGTCTGGCATTGCTCAACAGTAGCGCGAGTATGATCGCCCACTCTCTGGCGATCCAATCATTTGTCAGGGCGGGCTTTATACGATGATGGACAGATGATCAACAGTAACGTAATCAACCACGTGACCAAAGCGCGCTTGGGTGACAACAACAATGGCTGCCGCTGCAGAGTTGAGGTGAGCAGATTCTGCTATTAGGTCTGTTCTAGAAGATATCGACAGCAAATTAATTTTAAAAGAGGAACAGAGAAACGCGATCAAGGCTCATCTTCTTATTCTAGGCGTGCAACTGCACGCTTTGATTTTTGTTGACAACAACTATGCCTCGCTTAACATACGTCACGCACTCCGTTGCTCTTATTGGTTGTAGGTCTATCCAATTGAGTGCAGAGGCATTTTTTTTCCTGGTTCGTTCGAAACACGCCCCATAATCACAGCTCTATGGAGCAGCATCAGACTCATTCTGACTAGAATTGAGTAGGACTACGTCAGGCTACCTGTAGACAGGATTACAAATATTTAACCTTTCAGCAGCCAGAGGAGGACCAGCATGAGACAGATGTGATCTCTACCTGTTTCATGGAAGAAAATGTTGTAATTTCACAGACAGAAGGATTTTAAAGACCAGGAGTTCCTGCATGTCATGATGTTTTTAAGAGATCTGACCCACATGCAGGAAACACCTCAGAGAACTAGAGGAGAAGTTTAACAGGTTTATTGAAATAATCAATAAGGTTGATCCAGGGTAACTCAGATAGCTGGTGAACAGGAACTGGAAGGGAGAAGGGAAGATCAGAGGTTAGTTCAGGGTCCGTGGGAACTTTGAACAACCTTTTGCAAAAATCAGAGATGAACGGGACTCACGTTAGCAGAAAAGGGTTATTTTCCCAGAATCCAGTCGGTGTGGGTTTATCCAGAGATTGGCGGCTCGTTGGAGGGCGGGCAGGTTTTTGGTTTGGTTGGTTCCTTGGAGAGCAATGGAGCGGACTGCCGCTTAGATTTCCAGGAGAACTTGAATGGGTCGTGTGGAGATTAATCCCCTGCTCAGTGTGAAGCTGAAAATAATCCTTCCAGGGGGAGAAGGCCAAAAAAAATCCAGTTTGCAGGATGACTTCCTGCCGAAGAGACAGACTCAGTTTGACTCAGCTAAACTCAGCTTCCAGGTTTTATCCAGCAGCCCAACAAAGCCTGGTTTTAGTTTAGAAAACATGCAAATAGAAACGGATGAACGGGTCCCCCCCTTTGGAATGGGGGTCGTTTGGCTTCTTTGTTAGCCTGCAATGCCCCATACCTGTCTATGTCTCTGAAAGGGGGGTCGTTAGAGGGAATAGTTGGCCTGGCTGAATAGGTGAGGTCTTCTGTTCTCCTGTAAAGGGGTTTTAGCTGCGATCATAGCGGTAAGGAATCAACTCTATCGCTGCATTGAAGGTTTCTGAAATCTGAAACCTGAGTCCCCCCCCCCCCCTCTGTTTAAAGTTTTTTTTTAAAAACTTTTTTGGAACAAATATGACCGAGATGACTGAGAATCTGCCACCACCATGTGTCCTCTGAACAGTGTTTATGTTTGCTGGTGGCAAAGCTTGGTTTAAACCAGGCTTTTCTTCTTTAAAAGGTTTAGACTAGCGGCGAGCAGAGCTGATAGTCCTCCAGTGGACATTATTCTTCCACCTGAGCTGTGCATCCTTCAGGTTTATCGTGGATGCCTCCTCCTGCTTTACTTTGGTAATGTGACGGCATTGGAACCAAAGCAGAGCCGGAACGTCTCTTTTCAGACACACTGGCGCTCCGATTTTCATCTGGCCTCGAAGTAGAAGTGTTTTCCTGCTCAGTCAGTGTTCCCTGATAGGTGGAGGTCTTAATGAGCCATCAGTGCAGCAGGAGTTTGGCTCAGACAGGCCGGCCTTAAAGGACCCGCCCTGAAGCAGCTGCTGAGTGCTGCAGGGAAACTCAGAGGAGACATGAGAGCAGAAAACTACAAAAACAATTCATGCTTTTTAAAAACCTTTCCATTGATTAGTTTCTAAGTCAGGCTGAGCTTTTAGTTTAAATGATAACTCAAGGACAGGAGCGCCAGGATGTGCTGGAGCTGAATGGGAATGATGGGAATCCCATCTGGCTCTGAGTGCTTTAAAAACATCTCCGCTGCTGCAGCTATCATGTGACAGAGAGGTTCTTTTAAGGAGATGTTCGGATCGTTCTGGAGTCAGAGTTCGTTCACATGCTTTCTATCCATGAAGAGAACTTTCCTCCTTTGGGTTTTGGGCGGATCCGTGTTTTTCCTCAGGTTTCTCTGCAGCCTGTGGCTGAAAAAACGAGACGATCGCCTGTTATTGTTAACGAAACGCTGCAGACACCGCGTTGAACATCAGATGTGAAGTCTGCATGTTAACGCGTTCATGCAAAAGGCGAGTCTCTAAAGACTCTTTCTCAATGAAAATGGCAGGTTAACGAGGGTTTTCCAAAGATGGATCGACCCGCTAACAATCGGCATTTAGCTCCCTTCCCACTCGCAAATAAAGTCGACCGAACCCCTCGCTGGCAGCTGCGTGTCTGCTGACACCATCACGCTGAGTTAGCTTTGATAACGTCAGCAGTGTGACAGAAATCAGGGAAGTAAACAATGGAGAGCAACATGGAAGGAAGCCAGGGCGTAGTCGGTGTGTTTTATTGTTTCTCTCTATTATCTGAATCCCTCTCACCAGAACTGCTCCATGTTTATCCAATGGAAGCAAATTAGTTTCTGCTTGTTGGATCAGAAGAAACCGGCGCGGTGTGTTGACGTCCGTACGTTGCGTTCAATAATATCACGTAATTTAGCAGGTCAACCCGGCTCTGGTGTTCCCACGCGGGTCGCTTGCTGAGTCATTTGACCCGGGCAGACACGCGTCAGTGAGCTGCTCCCACTGCCACTGGAAGTCCATCGTTCCTGAGTTTAAACAGGTTTTTCCCTCAGTGGGAAAGGCTTATATGAAGCAGAATCAGTAATAATATTACAAATTTATCTGTACTTTAAACTGACTGAACAATCCAAACTGAACTGAAACATAGCAGCAAAATATTGATCATAATTATCATTGTTGGATCAGAGTATAACTTCATCAGAATGAGACGTCAGAAGTTCTGACTTTCTTATCAAAAGAAAATCAAAAATATATAAAAAGATGCAATAAATCAAAGTTCATTCCTTACATGATTAAGAATATCAATAAAAAATGTATATAAAGACTTAGAAAAACCTTATTGTCATGTTGCATACACAGAGTTTATACAAAATCAAATAAAACGTTTAGTACAGCTCTCATGGCGTTTCCATTTTTTAAAGTGCAGCAGTGATCAAATGTAAACATTGTGGGATAAAAATAATGGTGCAAAAAACGCAATGATTTGGTCCGTTTGATGCAGAGACTGACATGATTCACAGTTTCTTCAACATTTAGCTTTTTTTTTTCGGTAAAAACATCTATTGACAGAAAATAATTTGATTCTCCTCCTGTTGCCAGAGAGAACATAAAATACTGACTTGGTCTATTTTTCTTCGATGTTTTGATGATTTACTGTGAACCTGATTGATATTTTTTATATTTATTTTATGTAAAACACTTTTGTTTTGTTGCTGAAATGTGCTATAAAATAAAGTTTTATTTACTTTATAAATTCAAATGTCAGACAGGATGATACAGACTGAAGCGAACAGAAGACCTGCAGGATCAGCTGAAAACTTTCAGGATTTATTAAAGCATTAAAGCTGCAAATAGAACCTGAAGGATCATCAACATTTAGCAGAACATTCTCTGTTCTGCTACAGCTGCATGGGCGGTTCTAGACAGGAGCCAACGGGGGCGGGGGCCCCTGTAGATCAGGTCCTGGGCCCTGTTATGGCCCCTGTACTGAAGACATAATATTAAAAGATATTCTAATGACGAACAGATATGGCTACTGATAGGCCTTTTGGATTTATTTCTATATTCTATATTTCTATATTTTTCTTTAAAAAGAATCTGTTTTACTAATTATTTAAAAATAATAGGGTGATAGCTTCAGTGATAGCTGCTTTTTTTCCAAACAAATTAATAAAAATACTAATTTTTACAGCTGAATTTATCAGTTTTTCTTGAGTTCTAATTCAGATTTTATAGAAAACTGTCATTTTAACTTAAATTATCAATGTATATTGACCTAATACTCCAAATAACAGCTTTATTTGATCTTATAGATATTTATATAGATACAATTTTTTTTTGTTGCTTTTTTGCTATGCTAATGGTTTTTTATTTTTATTTTAACGATAATCCAGATGAACATTTTCAAGCCAAAAATAAATATTTTCATATAATTAGACATATAATTTTAATTGAACCTAATTGAATAGAAATGCAACTTCGTGCAGCTCTCTTAATGTATATGAATCCCTTGCCCTGTTGTTTTATTTCATGCTTTTCTGTTCCCCCGTGAAACATGGCAGCTGTTACTGCATGTTGGTATCGATGTGTAAAGAAGGAGCTTTTTGGAGAAAATCAGTTGTAAAAAGTATAAATATTGGTTCCAATGTAGGGAAGAAAAGTTTAAAGGCCTCAGAAAAAAAAAATCTACAGCGGTACAGTAAGTATTTATAGTTATTTGAAAGCTCTGATAAGAATAAAGCAAACAGGAAGTGTTAGGACTGATGATGCCAACCTGACGGAGAAGCACAGACGATGAAACCTCAGGTTAGGAGCAGATCCAGTCTGGAACAGAAGGCATCATGTTCTGTTAGATTCATGGTTATCGGAGGCAAACATGCTGGTGTAGGTGGAACCGTCCTCCTGGCACTGATCGTTCCTTTGTCATGGGAGATAATGGTTTCAGTGTGTGCTCTCCAACTGGTCCTAACTGGTACCACGCCGTCCCACGCAGCCGGACAATGGGCAGCATTCTGCAGCTGGGCCGGGCCTGAATGGGTGTCAGGAATGACCAGTCTGGAGAGGAGAAGGTGGGGGGGGGGGGTCCACAAAGCTCTGCCTGTTGGTGGCTGTTCTACCAGAATCCAACAGTCATCCGGGGTGATGGGAGGAAGACAAAGTGACTGGAGGGGACATCTGGCTGAGGGAGGACGGGACAGGATGGGACGGCTGGAAGTTTGGTCCACCCAGGATGGATGCAGGTCATCGGGGGATGCTGACAGTGATGAGTCACATCAGGACCAGAGCGCCTGGATATGCAGGAAGCCTGAAACATCACGCAGAACGCTGCGTTCACTCGCCAACCGCCGGCGTGTTCGGATGATTCCCCTCAGAGACGGCTGAGAGGTACCCGCTCTAATCGGATCAGATTTGGCTCCTCTCGCTTTTTAAAATGGCCTCCAGTCGTCATGGCTTCCTTTACTCCATATTTTTACATCTAACCTTGTTTTCCTGCACAGTTTGGCAACGTGTTGATAAATCCCAGATGAGTTTGATGCTGAGAGCCACAGGTTGAGTTCTGCTCTCACACTGTTGGTTTGTGAAACAACAACATTGATGCAGAGCCGGTTGGTTTGTTACGATGTTCTGTCTTTGGATGAATGGGCGCCATGTTTCCATCAACACATCAGCCTGACAGGAGGCCGACACTCCAACATGGAGGATGAGGAGAATGATGAAAGCTGAATATTTCTCTGTTTTTTAGCCCAGCTGCTGAGGTCCTCTGAGCTGAGCCGCCACAGTCTGCTCTACCTGAAGGAGATCGGACATGGATGGTTCGGGAAGGTAAGCCCACCTCTGTTTCAAACAGCAGCTGCTGATGTTACACTAATAAAACAGGCAGTAGGAAAAGCTCATGTTTCTGCAGCCAGATGATATCCATCTCCCTTCTTCCCTTTCTAACTCATCCTTCTCTCCCTCATATATACACCTTTCCCTCCCTCTGTCCCTTCGCTGGCCATGTCCATCTCCCTCTACGCCTTTGTCTCCGGCTGCATTCTTCCAGGTTCTGCTCGGGGAGGTGAACACGGGCCTGAACACCACCCAGGTGGTGGTGAAGGAGCTGAAAGCCAGCGCCAGTGTGCAGGACCAGATGCATTTCCTGGAGGAAGCACAGCCGTACCGGTACAGCCTCCTCAAATCCTTAAATTAAATTAAATTAAAATGCAGACAGTTTATTGGCAGAGATGTCTGATAATGTCTTGATAAAATCCAGATTTTATTTTTTAAAATAAACAACTGGAATAAATGTATAATAGCTCCACAATGATCAGATCTAATGGATGATTTCAGAGGAGAGAGAAGAGATGAAAGGAGCCACTGTCACCGCTGCATCCATGGCGGATTGTTTAAGTTTCCACAGTGAAATAAAATCTTTTTTTAGTTTCACGTTTTTAAATGAACAGTTAAGACACCGGTTCAGCAAAACAAAGAGACAAAGATCAACATTTTACTGGAACTGCAGCCGACGGGCTGAACCAGTGAAGCGTATCTGACCCGCTCTGGTTTTAATGGGTCTCTTTACTCTTTTGGTGCAAAGAAAATGTGCTTTAAGCCTCATAAAAGAGAAGCTGATCGTAAAAATAACACCTGAAAAAGACATTAAATGCATCGTTAGAAAGGTGTGACTCTCTAGTTTCCACGGATACCAGCCAAAAGGGGCGGAGCAATGAGGTATCTGTGTCAGGACATGTTTCTCTGGAAGAGTCGGCCATGTTTAATAGGGCGTTTGATTGCATCCTCAATATTGATTATTTAGTTTAGAAGAATTAAAGCCTCCTTCCAATGATTTTGGAAAAGAAAGTTGGAAATGTTTGACCAAGTATTAGAAAAGATTAACGGTGGAATAACTTTTAGGGGGTAAAATAATAAACATGGCGCCCGTGTCCCTCATGTTATGAAGCCTCATTGAACCGTTTTGGTCAAATTGCTTCAACGATTCCAACAGTTCATGAAGCTTCATGTCAACGTGTCACCACCTACTGGTGGAATGCAGAACTACAGTCAGTAATATAAGCTGTCATTTTTTTGCAATTGTTTTTCTTGTATTTTTTATTTTTATTTTTAATGATTTGTGTGTATAATAAAATATTTTTTACGTTTTTTTGTGTAAAAAGAGAACAATCAGCTAAGGTTCACAATTTTTCTGCCATTTTAGTGAAATAAGCTCAAGCCAACAGTGAAAAAGTTTGTGCAACTGGGTAATGATGAGCAAAATGAAAGGTGTTAGTCATTTTTATTCAAAAATAAAATAATTCAAAAATAATTTTAATCTGGTTGGAAGTTATGTGTTCAACCAATCTTTGGCTAAACCAACCAATCTATTTTTGCAGTATTTTTGTATAAATATACCCAATGTATAAACAATATAAATTAGTCACATTAGCCATAATACTTATTAAGTATTATTGCAACTTTGAAAAGTCTATGGCGGGTTTCCAACCCACAACCTTAGGATTGCAAATCAATGTCATGCAGCTGATGCCACCAGCTGTGATAACTTCAGAGAGCAATATGCTGATCAATGCTGTCAGTCATCCAGGTCACAGTCATTGCAAAAAAAGAAAATTTAAATCAATCCTCTGGACTTTGTTTCCAAGTTTGAAGACGTTTCTCTTCCATCCAGGAAGATTTTTCAATTCAAAATGTCAGAAACGGCGTTTAGTTCCAGGTTTTATCCAGCAGCCCAACAAAGCCTGGTTTTAGTTTAGAAAACATGCAAATTGCATTCCTTACTGCCCTGAACTGTCTGCAGTTCAATGCAGGGAGGATTGCTCTGATCTTTATATTAGAGAAACCAAACAACCTCTCCATAGATGCATGGCCCAACACAGAAGAGCGCCCTCCTCTGGACAAGACTCTGCGGTACATTGCATGTTTCCTAAACAAAAAACAAGGCTTTGTTGGGCTCCTGGATAAAACCTGGAACTCCAGTGGATTGTTTTTAATTTTCCTTTTTTGGAATGACTTCAGAGCAGAAAGCAATCCTACAAACAGTAACGTTAAAACTGTAACCTCTGGCTTGCTCAGATTATGATCATTATATCGTTTAGTTTCATCAAAACAGTTTTAACCAAATAGATAGTTTTTCTTTAACTTTCCCAGTACTCGACACATGCATTGAAGCCTCGGCTCGTCTCATAACATCACTACCCTCATGAAAAATCTGTAAATCCCAGGATAAGAGCAAAGTTCCAGGTTTCTGGTTTTCCTGGCTAAATGGGGAAATCTGGACGTTTCTCTTTTCTAGTTTCACTTTCTGTTTTCCTTTTTGTTTTTAGGATTTCTGGTCCATTTCTGTACCTTTTCCCTCTGACTGTATTTTCTAAAGAACTAATAAAAGAAAGGAAAAGCCCATGATTAAAAACCATCAGAACCCAGAAAGATGAACCATCATTCTCCTGATTCGGACTGGAGGATCATGAGTCTACCAACGTCTGCAGCTAAAGCAAAGCTCAGCTCAGATCCTAAAACACATCTGCTTCTTAAAGTTCTGCACCCGGCTGATAAAACCAATGAAATCTGATATTTTTACCTTCATGCTTTGCTGTGTGATCAATAGTTCCCATGTTCTCAGCTCTTAGAGAGAACGTTTCATCTCTTACAGCGCTACAATACTTAGAGAAAACTTTGCTGTAATAAAGAAATTCAAAACATCAATTTTCAATATTAAATCTTGCAACAAACCTTAAAGCCCATGAAAAAAATCGACAGGGAATGAATCTTTAAACTGGATAAACTCAGGAGGTTCTTTCTACTTTTCTTACGGCTTCATCAAATCATTCTTGAGGAATTTGGATAAAAAAAGAGGCTTTGGGATGTTTTCTTTTCATCTTAATAATAAATAAATTCTCCATATTCCCAGAAGCATGTGCATGCAGATATGTTTGCTGATCCAGTGTCAGAATGAAGCAGCTTTCAGTCTTTCTGTTCTCCAGTAAACTCCAGCATCCGGCTCTGCTGCAGTGCCTGGCCCAGTGCACAGAGGTCACCCCCTACCTGCTGGTCATGGAGTTCTGTCCACTGGTGAGTCTCCATCCATGCAAATATTCCAGATCTTCCCAAACGCAAACTTTGAGTCAGTGAAATCCTAGTAAGAGCAGAAATGGTTACTAAAAACGTTTCCCACAACCTGCATCTTTCTGCTGCAGTTAGCTGAGAATCCTGCTCATTCATCTGCAGCTTCACATCGTGTGAAGTAAACATTCTTTCTGCCTGGTTGGATCTTTGATTAAACAATGTTGTTTTCTAACCAGAAGGACTTTCTTTTTCTCACATCATGTCAGACTTACAGGCTTCCTGCAACAGATTTCCTTTGTTCTGAGGCAATAAAATCATTTTATAAATCAAATTCTCTGCATTTCAAAGTCACTGAGGAAATAATTGTAGATACTTTCTGAGCTCGTGTCTGTAGGTGAACTTGATCAGGGTAAAATTAATTAATCAATTTGCTGCTGGTTTACCAAGAACAGATATTTCTGTTCTGTTGTAAACTGATGTTTGCTGCCAAACACTGCCCTCCAGTGGTCAGAGCGTGTAACATGCAGATGCTTTATTTCTCCAGGGGGATGTGAAGGGTTACCTCCGAAGCTGCAGGTCTAATGAGGAGATCGCCCCGGAGCCCTTGATCCTGCAGAGGATGGCCTGTGACATTGCATCCGGGCTGCTGCACCTGCACAAACACAGCTTCATCCACAGGTAGTCCCAAGCTGCTGGGCCTGAAAAGTTTGCCTTTGCTTTGAATTATGAC